ATATATATATATATATATATATATATATATATATATATATATATATATATATATATATATATATAGTAAGGAGAGGACACGATCTTAGAAGAGGGTCATCGCGAGCTGCGATAGAGTCAACAAACCTGCGGCAAGAGTTTCCCAACAAGCGCCTGACTTTGGACCTCAGTCTGCTGGCGTCCAGAGCACTGCGGCCCAAGGTCCTGGGGCTCGTGAGAGGGGGCGGCATTTCATGGTTTGTACTGCACCGTGCTGCAGCTCCTGCTGCAAGCCAACTGCAGATGCCAACATGGCCACTCTGCCTTTGCAAAATGCATTAACACAGTATACTAGCACAGTAAAGGGCTAGACACATGCATGCCCGTCCACAGACAGCAGGCACGCAAGGAAAAAGACACGTTTCCACTCAAGGGAGAGCTTGTAACATGATCCTCTGATGTTGACACGCCCACAACGAGATGTAAGCGCCTGCACAACGAGTAAACTACCGATGGATGTTAAATTATTGGGCCAATACATAACAAGTAAATTTGCAGTGTACGCCAACGCGTTGACTCGAGAACGAATAGTAAAGGGCGCAACCCATGCGCGGTGAAATTCCTCTGCTCGTCCCCCTGTGAGCTTCGCAGAGAGTCCCATAGAACAAAATGGGCTTTCTCAACCAGGCGCAGTCACCTGAGTCGCTGTGTTCAGGACTACTGGGTTCCGGAGAGGATGTCAACTGCTTCGTGAGAACTCATACCGCAAGGGCTTGACTCTACTGCAGTCCGTGACGCTCCTCAGCTAAACTTGAGGGCCCACGCTATACCGAAACGACTTAATTATTCATTGCATTGCTATGTTGACTACGCAGTGGCTCGGTAAAGTATGACGGTGCATGTTCCGCAAGACAACTATCCAAGGCGAAGCTGGCATTCGTTAACTACCGAGTCTACGGCTTGTCTGGTACCACAAGAGATCACCAGCCGTGCTGTGTTGCTATTGAGCTTGGCAGGAACTACAGCTCCTTGGGTGCGTAAGGAGCAAAGAAAACGCAAATTAGAAATGAAAGGGGAACCATCGGAGACAAACGCAGTTGGGGGGCACTGTGACCAATCAGTAGGGTGTTGGGACAATGCATCATTGACCACGTCCACTCTGTTAATATGCTTAGCCGTGAAATCATACTGCTCAACCCCCTATAGCCACCGAGCGAATTCTTGGTTATCGAGACCTTGAAAACTGTTCGTCAAGTGTCTCGTCGGTTGATTGTCGATGTGAACAGCAAAATGCCTGACTGATCAGTAATGTAGTTACGTATTTACGCTCCACCAGACTGCCTAAGTTTCCTTCTCACGTACCAGATGCTGCTGCTGCCTTTCTGTGAAGCCGTAAGAGATTATTTGGTGCTCCTTTCACTTGTCCGCTTACTGGACGAGCATGTGTCCAACTGCTATTACATTAGCATCGGCCGTTAGGAAAAAGGTTCGGTCGAAAACAGGCAGCGGTTGGGTGGCGACAGCCCGCCGTTGAGACTACGGAAGATGCCCCTTCTGTAGTGAGTATTAGCTACAATCACGGCCCCCACGGCGTGCCGTCCCCGCCAGAAGATTCCATAGTAGATGGGTGATGCCTCCAAGAGAACCAGGCTTGGAAGCTTCTGAAATGCGCAAAATGGAAAGGTAATTTAAACATATACTGGTGAAGTGGTATCTATATGTACTAATAGCAAATGAGGGGTTATATATATACGTCATATACATATATATATATATATATATATATATATATATATATATATATATATATATATATATATATATATATAGTTTGTTTCAATTTTTTTCACTTGAGTGGCAACCTTAATCGCACACCACTTCACGACATCTTAAAATTTAGATTGACGATATACCCCGCAGTTGAAATTAGTACGGGTAGATACCACTTCACCAGTTTATAACACATCGCTGGGTTACGGGGCTACAGAGTCCATGCCTTTGTAGGTTTGGTACCGCAGGCCTATTCGTCAGGCGGTAGCGTGCTTAGGGAAAGCAGCTGCCTTTGCCAGGAAAAACTCCCTCCAAAATGTTGGACATGTAGCTTGTTTGCTTAGGGACCAACCAGCGGAGAGGAAGGTGTTGGGGGGTCACAGGCTACAGTTCTGAGTAGCCGTTGCTGAGGGTGAGATCAAGCTCCTCAGGGCTCTGAAAACTCCAGCGCCCCAAATCCAACATAGTTGTTAAACTTAAGGGAGCTTCTCACACCCTCGTTCCTGGCAACGTCTTCCCGTTGTCTTGGAATCCATCACTCCCATATTTTAGGGACACGACATTCACTCTTCTTATTGTAGAGCAGTCGGAAGCATAAGGAAGCACTGACAGAACCAAAGTAGAAGTCCCATAGTGTACGAACATGCACTTATATGCGTTGAGTTTGCATTTTTTGCACCTAGTTATTACTGATGCCCTTGTCCGGCGTGCCACCGGTAAAGCCCATTCGCAGGGACTGCGCCAAGAAACAATGAAATATGATGCACCGTCTCTCCGTAATCTCACATATCAGATTCACTTCCCAATCTGCATCAAGTAGAGCTAGAAACTGGTAACCACAAAAAACCAATTTGGAAAAGCACAGTAAGCACAGTACATATGAGGATTCTCCGGAGCCGGTGCCACCTCTTTTGGCCCCCAAAGTGCGCTGCAAACAGCGAGGGGGCCAGGACGTCTCCCTGTTTGGCTTGTTGGTTACTTTGCCGATGCTCCTCAAAGCCGTTTTCATCAATTTCCTTTGTACTCCATATGTATGCGCCCGCCAACTCGAATGGTGTAGTCGATTTTATTGCGGAAACCGCATATGTTCCACTCTGGACACCCCGTGGCTTTTTTTTGGAATTTCTGAGTGCTAGATTCGCCTGCCGTTTGCTGTTTCTTCGTGCTACATGCCTTTTGCTCCGCAGCTTTTAGCAGTCACCGCCCCTCTATCCATAGGCCGAACATCTGCGTCATCTGTCAAGCTCCGTTCTTCCTTCTCATTTGAAGGGGTAGAAGTAACGCCTTCTCTGTGTTTGGTGTCAAAGAACTCATCCCGTCTCTTCGCTTACTTCTCGTTGCACATGGGGTTGTTGAATATTTTCCTACCTGACAGCTTGCGATGAACCATTGGTGGAGAAGTTGAGTCTTCCCTGGAACTTGGGTTCACCAGTTGATGCAGCGCAGTGTGGATAGCCTTTCCTTGTTTAAGTGAGTGGCTTCTCCTGTTTGCTCCTCGAGATGGCGGCAAAGCTACACAGGAGCGCACGTTAGGGATGTTCGAAAGTCTAGGTGTGGTCCAGAGAAAAGGTACTTCTGCCTATGTTTCTGTCCGGGAGAATCGCCTCAACGGCAAAATGGTGCTATGCGCTATGTACCTTAGTTACTGTCGGGTGGGATTAGCAGCCTTTATCTGCATCTCTAACCATGCGGTGCTACCAAGTGTAGCGGTATCCCCCTTACAAGAAACAAGAAGCCCTCCCGCCCTGCTGCACCCATTGACTTGGTGGCAATTACGCGAAAGAAAGCGTTTACTTGTGAGTACGTGCTCGTGGCGTGTTTCAAGTTAACTACAGTTTGAGAACAAATAGAACGAGCGGACTGGAGATCCTGACAGACAGTGTGATTAGTCGCACCTCGAGGTTCCTAGGAATTCCTAGTCTAACATTCGATGTTAGCAATACATGATACACTGCCTCTACGCCCTATTAACCGCTCTTCACTGCCGTCTCAGGAACCATTTATCGTTTCTTTTGCAGGGAACTTCATAACTTACCAAAAATAGCGGCAAGCTCCGTTGAAATCACTCTGTAAAGGGGGTCCTATTTGCATTATTGCAGTCAGGGCAATCCTTAGTACAAACCAAATTAAAGGAGCGCCAGCCAAACGTTTTCGAGTTTTTTTGTGAATACTCAGTCGATAGCCAGCTGTAGCATGCATCCATTCATATACCAACTCTGATAACTACAGCTGCTTCCTGCATTCGGGTGCGGGGATGACGCATATAATGGGGCTTTCACTGTTCATAAACAGTCTTTTGTACTTGCGTAGGGCGGCGAACTCACTACGAAGCCCATCCACCATTTTCTCTAAGAAAGAAAATGATTGGGGGGCCGCTACTACATAATTAGGCTGGTTTCAGTAGTACTGGAGAAAATGATGAAAGGGCCACTACTGCATAGTTAGGCTGATATCATCTCGCATACGGGATTTGCAACTGATTCTTTCCCTAGATTAAGAATATGATGCGTTTCGTCGGCTCTCTAAACTGTATGTTCGCCCCCCTTCCAGGAAAGCTCTTTTTCTCTGGGACTCGCTGTTTTTAGATATCAGCTTTAAAACGATGGTTATCAGAGAATAGCCTTGCGGGCAGGGGATTGAGCTAATCGCGAGAAGAGTTCAGGCATGCTGAAAGCATACCCCTGCAAAGGGCGTGCACGCCACGCGTCAAAGGCTAGCATATATTTACAAGTGCGTCATGTTTAAAAATGGATGGTAAAAATGCTGGTCTCTAGCGGCTTTGGACGGACAGCGGAGTCGCACACGGCTCCGCGCCCACAGGCATGAAAACTCACACGCATTCGTCGTTTACACTTCTGACACAGCCGTACCAGCAATTGCCTCTAAACACAGTTAGGCAGTCGTGAGGTAAACGCTACAACTTAGTGGGTGTACAGTTGCATATCCATGGAACTCCGCCTTCGCTGAATGACCGTCGCTTTTGCCGGTCACACTGCCCTCCAGTGGAGGACCCACGGTCCGAGGAATTCTCGGTTCGCGGTTTCCCTCACCAATTCATCAACAAGTGCACTCGAACCACTACCTACATCGCCGCTGTCTAAGCATTGTCCAGCTGAGCTCATCTAACGGGCTCATTCAGATGCCTCGAGGAGCATGATGTTGCTCGGATGTAGATTAGTCCAGTTAACTCTCTGAACGGCAGTTCAGAGGAAGTTAAAATCAGCTGATATACATTGCCTTCAGTTTCTTCCTTGGAAAGATTGATAAGCTCTTCCAAAGGGCTGTCGCAAAAGAACTGCATGCTCCAAGAAAATTACTGTACTTCTTCCTCTTCCACTGGTCGTACCTCTCCGTCTTCCAGTAGCCTCGCCTGCAGACCTCTTACGGACTCCGCAAGCTAAAAAAAAACAAAAAAAAAAACAAAAAAAGGCTTCATATGACTGCACACGTACGTCCAAGCGACGCTTCCCTAGGATTCACACCGGCGAGCTCAGAAAGTACACTCCTAACGCATCAATGACGCCCAGGGCAGCCCCAATGCCACGTCACATCCCAGACATCTGCTTGGGGCCAATGAGCTCTCACACCCTAGTCACTGAACTCAATGTTCATGTAGGTTCTTGAACTCACCACTCGCCATCTGATCTGTGTGACGTCCCTTTGCCTGTGGATGGGGGCCCGATCTTCTGCAAGGCAAGCAAGGTTTTCTAACTGTATGCCGCCAGAAGCCTCTTTCATCTCAGCCTGCGCGCATGGCCATAACCACAGTAACGCAGACCTTGTCTCTCCGTGGTGCCACTACAGAAGATGCAGAGGGAATTGCCCCTCCACAAGGCGTGTGTGTGTCACGTGCGTGTGCAGATATATCCAGAGGGGGGGAAAACGGTTCAAATCCGTAGTGCTCACCGGCAAGCGAGCTGCTTTTTGCGGATCTTCCACTTCGAAAGGAAATCCCGGCTGAAGCAGAACACAATGTTGACAAAGTTTGGGAGCAGTCAAGGAGCATTGAAGCATTTACACAGAGAGGCCCAAAAAGACAACAGCAAAGATGTAGCACCGTACCTCTGGTAGATGCGGTGAGACAGAGTAGTCATCAGCTGAAGGCAGGGCACAATAGCAGCGCATGCACACAAATTACTTGGCTTCGCATGTTGCACACAGAAACTGTTCAGGAAAATGTATTTCTATGGGAGCTGTGCAGACAGACCGGAAAGATAAGCAACTAGCCAATAAAAAAATGAATGCATTTCGCTTGCCTGAACGATCACCAAACCGTTTCGTTAACAGCTGCATGAACTCGATGCTTTTTTGGTAAACCTCTGGAGCATGATGCCTGCTGTCCACAATTCTGATGATTCTATACCTGAAGTGAAAGGGCAGAATCCCAAGAACAATTTACCTTGGAACCACGTTTTCCCGGCGCTGCACCACTAAAATGTAGACGAGGGAAAAACACAGCCGGATTGAGCCCCTGCTGTGGGGTATGTGTCTTTCCAAGGGGTGTAACTGAAACCAGTCGGGCCATATATCTATCTAGCATATCTAACGACCCGAATAACTGCACTTGCACCTGAATCGCTGCATGCATTCTACACTTATGGGTATCTTCAGCTGCGCTCGCTTACTTCATGTCTATCACACCCAGAATAATGTGTCCGGGAGGGAAGTCAGACGTCTCTCCCCCTGCCGGCGTGGTCGGAAGCAGCAACAGCACCCTCTCTGCGGCCTTGCACTGCCTAACTTGTGCCTACACACACACACGCACATATATATATATATATATNATATATATATATATATATGGAGGCAAAAGCCTTGAGGAATTTTAAAGAAACCATATGGATGCTATCAAGAACTGCATTGCCCAGGCATCGAAAACGTCAGGATAGCAAGCGTCACCAGCATGTGGTGGCAATTTGGCCGCCAAGCAAAGACGGCAGTCACACGGCGGCAGAAGTTGCCCTACCGAAAACAGCATAGGCCTCTTCCTGTGCTCCACGAACTCATTCCATGCCTTTACGATTGTCTTTGGCGAAAGAATTGCTACGGGTCGTTGCCTAGGAGAAAACAAAAGCGAACAAAGCGAAAGCGACTTGGCAATGGGCGTTAGCATTGTTCGCTTTTGTAATGAAGCCACAGGACGCTTCGCCGCACTCATAGGGTCAAACCAAATAAAGTGTCAAAAGGAATGACGGCTGCAACTGGCGCTCCGCTTACAGTCCCTTGCTCGCCCGAGCTGAAACGTGTGTCTGCAAGAGAACACAAAAGAATCACACCACACCAGGCAAGGGAGTCAAGCCTCTGGCGCAGAAATGCTTTACTAGACATCCCACGAAGTGGAGCAGCCCGCACAACTCCTATCTTGTCAACAATATCTGTAGCTGCAGGTGTTCTTAGCAGGTGATAGTAATAAAAGGCACCTGGAGACGGGTGCAGTAAGTATCCAAGAAGGAAAGTTCGAGTGGCTCTCCTGGAGCCATCCGCTGCAGCTGGTGTCTGAAAAAGGGCATCCAAAGAACAGGCATAATGCGGCATTTTTGCTCCGTTGCTCTGCGGTAGCAGCTATACGCTCAGAATGACGGAGTGGATAAGATACAGTCCCAGTGAGTTTATTTTTCACTTTTGCCAAGGCCGTGTGGATTGCGCAAATCTCTATATTAACGCTGGAGTGTATCTCTGATAACTGCTAGGATTCCCGTCGGGATTGAACTTTCTTTTGCAGCAATGCCTTCTGAGTGCTAGGCAGAATTACCTCAGTACTGGTGTTCCGCCGACATTGACCTCGTCGGTGGGGTTTCCTTCGAGTAGTTCCTTAAGCTCTGCGTTCACAAGCAACGCCCACACACCTTCAGGCCTTCACTCAAGGTATTGCCATTAATGCCATTTTGCCTCGAACCTTTTGGCCCCGCAGCGTAGGAAATGCCATTAAATGCTGTCGCTGTGATAACCTAGCTTTAACAGCTCACACAACCTCTGTAAAGGGTGAAGCGATTCATACCTCGCAGCTCATCGAATGACACTGCCCCCATATCCGCGAAACGGGGGGACAAAAGTTGTTGGACCAGATGCATAGTGAGCTGAAGCAGCACAGGACAGAAGCTGGAAACAGGTTTCATGAGATGCGAGCAAACACACCAAGATGACCACAGGAGTACGGGTTGCACGGCCTTTCTCCAGAAAAAGACATCGAACACAACTTTCAGCACGCAGTTTGTCCTTTGCAGGTTCATACCGCTTCCTCAGGCGACGATGGGTCTCTGGGAGGCCCCAAATCCTCCGGGGGGTCGTCTCCCCATCCGTCTGCCGGTTCCTCTTGTGGCTGTTCATCGGGAGGCGCCTCTCCGTCCCCTTCTCCGGATGGTCCACCGGCTGCTCCAGACGGTTCTTCGGGTGTTCCCTTTGAGCCTTCTCCTTGTTCGCCGGCGGCTTGCTTGCCCTCAGCATCAGCGGGGGTGTCTTCATCAGCTCCCCCAGTTGCACCCCCCGTTTCACTCACTTCACCAGCTGCATCTCCCGGCTCCTGCGGATCGTCTCCCCCAGTTTGGACATCCTCTTCACCGTCTTCCTCTTCACCTCCCTCATGAGATGTCGCGTCGGCGAAAGCTGGAGATTGTACTGGGGAAGCAAACTCATCTGACTCTGGCTCCGGCGAAGCGGGTCCCTTTGCTGCAACGGCTTCCTCTTCACCGCCTTCCTCTTCACCTCCCTCCTGAGTTGATTCCTCCTCGGGGACGACTGGGGGCACTGGCGGCGAAGAGGGTTCCTCTGGCTGAGTCTCCGGCGTAGCGGGTCTCTCTGTTGCAGCAGCTTCCTCTTCACCTCCCTCCTGACTTGGTGCCGTCTCGGGGACGACTGGGGTCTCTGGTGAC